TTTCTTCTAACAAACAGACCAAAGTAAGCTCAATATTTAGTGTATTGTTCCATTCTGATAGCCTGTTTATATTCTTTCTTTTTTCTCTTTAAATTTTCATTTTTACACTTATATACTATTATATACTATTGTATTGTCCTATGTTCTACTTAGACTCCAAAAGAATATGAATGCCAAATCCTACTGTCCTTTTCCAAACCTGGTCCCATTAGAAGATCCCCAGAGTCCCTGCTGCCATGGGAGGTGACAGGAGGAAATGTTCACCTTGGATATGAGCTTTCAGTAAATACCTAAATCTATAGATGCCTTTAACTGGTTCTTCCTAGCTTCCAGAAGTATGAAATATAAATTTCTGTTCATAAGCCTTGAGTTTGTGGAATTTGTTAGGGCCTGAACAGATGAAAAAAGTGTCCAACTAAGGATTGTTTTGCATTGCTATCATTATGAAAACTCACAGAGTTTTAAAATAACTCTATGGTATGAATGGCTAATTTCCATGATAACATGGCTTAGTATCCAATTGTAGTCATCTAGTACACATTCTGCTTACTTCAAATTTTCTTACAACATTCACATTTTAAAAATGAAGAAGAAAAGAGACATCTTCAGACAATTGTACTCTCTTCTCCACAGAGGTTGGCATGAGCAGCTGGATGAAATCTCTGCTCTCCACTTGCCAGCTTTACTGCTCAGTTCTCCAAGTTCAAAGCCAGTATCCCATCATTGCACATGCATAGTTTCTTCACTCACCAGCTCCAAAGAAAAAATAGGTTTCTGATGTCAGAGGTCACACATATTTCCACTAACACAACAGAAAATGCTGAATCTCATGAAGTATCCTCAGAGTCTCTGACACAGAAACATTGCACAGACCTGTCCTCCCTGAAATGCAGGCCCTGAATGCTCCTGAGCTCACTTCACAGACAAGGGGTTGGAGAGCTTAAGTCCTGCCTGGGTAGAGCGTGAAAATAACAGGAAGAATGATAGCTTTTGACTTGGGCCCCTCCCTCCAGAAGACTTGGCTGATAGTTGTAGGCCCATATTTATAGGATGTGAAAGAGAAACTGTTGTTTCTCAACAGAACAAGGAGTTCCAGGAAAAGAAACATGAAGATCTTGTGACTTCAGTGGCTCAGGGAGTAGGGGAGGGCAAGAGAGACACTGGAGCCATGAGAAGCAGGTCTCTGATGACCCTGTGTGGTCATCTAGCCAAGACTCCCATGGGAGCCCTCGGGATAGACAAGAAAGCTGTGAGCAAGTTTCCAAAGCTTCCAGTGAATGAGAGAATTACTTCCCTACAGGAAGAAGAAGGACTCACTTTTCTGTGTCTTTCTGTTTCTTTCATTTTTAGGGGCCCTGTTGCTGGCTGCCACCTCACCAGACTTGGGCATAGATTTCCCTGGTAGGTTATGGGAACAACTCATGAACAAAATACCAGGAGAGGCTCTGTGGAAACTTGGTAATATACCAAGGAAGGGGACACAAGCAGGGAGAAGGGTGCCTAGATTCTAAGATTTATGTGAAGGATCAAAAGGAACATACCAAAATTTCTTTAGAAGGACATAGGAGAAATTGCTGTATCAGACAAGATTTATTTCCATGCTATATAGTATCTAAGACAGTTGGGTGCTAGCACAGGAGTAGACCATCTGACCCACAGAAGGACACAGAGCCCTGTATAGGATTCAGACATGTGGGGAGTTCTGAGACATGGGAGAAGCACATGGAATGTCAAGGATATAGAAGGCACCACCTAGTAAATGGAGCAGACTAACCGGTTCTCCATACGGACAGAGGTTACTGAATCTCTGCTTACATCATTTATGATAATCAACTCCATATCAATTTAAGATCTAAATTTCAAGTGGAAACTGTAGAAAGAAATACAGCTGCTCTTATAGAAAGATTATTTAAATGAGATGATACCTGTATAAAGATAGCAAGATGACAGCTGTATAAAACAGACTGACAAATGTGATACCTTTGACTCTATAAAAATGAAAAGTTTCTCTTCATGGAATCAAATGTAAAAAAAAGTCTAAAAATATTCACAAATCTAGAGAAGCTATTTGCACAAATGTAGTCATCTAAGGATCAATGGAAGGAAGGATTTTAAAATTCCAAAAATCACTAGGGAAAAGGGAAAAAATTCAGCTTGGAAGTCGGCAAAAGATGAACAGAACTTTCTCAAAAAAAAAAAAAGAAATCTATTTGGGCCATAAAAATAGAGAAAATACTGCACATTACTACTAAGACAAATGCATCTCTCTTCACTGTGAGATGATATTATTATTAGTTCTATTGCAAAATTTTAAAAGGTAGACAAAATCAGGTATTGGTGAGAATGTAGATTGATAGAAATCTGAAACACGGCTGCTGGGAATGTAAATCAGTACAATCACTGCGAAAAAACCATACGGCTGAATCTTATAAAATGGTACATTCATGCACCTCAGGACTCAGCATTTCCATTCCTAACACTATACCTAGGAATCACTTTGCAAAAATGTGCAGGAGACATGTAGATGTGTGTGCCTAGCAGCAGTCTTCATGACTGTAAAAAAGGAGAGGACAGGCATTTATAGAGAACAGATAAATAAGTTGAGCTACACAGTATTGAAAAGCATGAGCCATACATACATTCTTTTAGTATAGTGTTGAGATTAAATATTAAGAACCCATAGAATACCCCTTAAATAAAGTCTCAAGAAAACTAAGCAATATATTATATAAACATGCATATGTAAGTGATAACATCACAAATAAAAGAAAGGAATCATAAACATGTACAGCATGAAATTGTTACCCAGGGGCTGTGGACAGAACTGGAGTGAATAGGAACACAGAGGGAGGTATATGTTGTTAGAGATGTTCTATTTCTGGGATGATTGTTCAGTGTGTAGGTGGTCATTGTATTACACAAGTAAGTAAAAGATTTAAACTAGAGAAACATCTCAGAGATAAATAAAGAGAAAAATCTCTTTCAGATTATCGTTGCATTATTCTTCTGTGTGGAGTTGGTCCTGAATCTCTCCCTCATGCCATATTTTGGGGACATCAGAGAAATACTGTCTGTCTGACATACAGAGACAATCACTGCTATGATGGGAGAAAGACTGAGAAATCATTCAGAGAGGAAGCAGAAGACAAGAGCCTGAAATTCCAGGTAGAAACAACGGCAAGGCAAAGATGCAAGCTCACACATGAACTTGACACCTAGCTGTGGATGCAGAGGAGCACACCCACACACACACCCACACTCACACACACACACACACACACACACACACAATTACAGCTCTCAGTAATAAGGTAGGAAATACCTCTGAGACTCAGGTACCCTGGAAGTGATGGGGCCTTTGTAGTGGGTGACAGAAGCTCCCACTCGGGGTCTCCCCGGGCTGGGCTGCCCCCCAGCGGTGTGTGAGAATCACTCTGGGTCTGGTGCTGTTTGGTTGGCTCTGGTCTGCAGTGTCCTCAGAACCCAGTGGGCTGGAGCTTGATGCCCCAGTATGCAACCTCAGGGTCCAGAGTCAGACTTGCTGCTCCTAAGTCAACACTAGGAAATCAGAAAATATGATTTATAAGAATATTGTTGTTTTCTCTGTTTAGAGAAAAGGGAGATCAATTCTTCTCGGGTATGAATAGCTTAGGAAATCCCTTGTCTCCTAGTCCCACTCAGAGAAGTACAAATCCAGTCAGTGTAACATACAACCTCCAGACTCTTGTACAATGGAAATCTCCCCTGCCCTGGTGCAGCCTCTCTTCCAACTGAGTGAGACACCTGCAGTAGGGACAGGAAAAAAGTAGATGTCTCTCCTCTTTCTTCCTCCTACTGCCTCCATTACATGGAGGAGCATGGCATAGGGAAACTACAAGAATAGGAAAGGACTCACTCAGGACATCTGCAATCCAGTTGAATGTCCCTCAGGTACGAGTGTCCAATGAAGGCTCATGCTGATGTCTCCATTGGGGTGATGGAGCAGGCATAGTCCAGACCTTCTAGGCTTCTACCTCCTCTGTGATGTCAGAAATAGAAGGGCAGCTCCACCTCTTTCTCTTCACCCTACCCAGGAAGACCATGTGCAGCCCTCATTGTTGGGCATGTCCCTTGAAACAGACTCACTAAAATAATCCTTGCCTTCCCTCTCCTCAACCTGTCAGCTGTGCTTTCCTGACCCAGGATGGAAATCCAGGAATGCAATGATGTATTAACAATCTCTTAGCCACAGAAGAGACATTGTTATGAGAAGAGACATTGTTAACTTGTTATGGACATTTACAATCTTGGCAGAAACTTTGTAAAACAGATCTTTTTCGCACTATCACAGTCACAGTCCCCTCCCTGGTCCCCTCTCCTGAACACAGATACCCTGGGGAGCTATCACTGCTGCTCCCACATGAGAATGAGGACATCATAATCACTGAGAGTTTAAGCAGCTGTTAGAGTCACCAAGTCAGTAGGGAGCTGTGTTGAGTTCAGACCTTCACCTGGTTGGGGCAGGTGCATCAACTCCAGGGAGGGTCACAGCTGGGGTCAGGAAGAGAATTCTACCACAGATGTAACCTCTGCAGTCTGATCTCTGTGGGCAGAAGTGAGTTAGCCCTTGAACTGGGCACTTGGGCAACCCAAGGAGCAGCTTTGCAGGCAGTGTCTGCACCCATCTGAGGGGCCAGCCTCAAGGGGGCTAAATGTGGACTCCTCACTGGTCAGGGCACTGGCCTCCAAGTAAGATTATCAGGTGTGAGGCGGCTGGTCTCAGAGCATTCCCACCCTCCCCTGGGCCTCTGGGCTGAAGGTGCTCAAATAGCCCTGCATAAGTCACAGGCAAATACTGCAGCACCCCACTCACTAGAATGAAGAAACTGAAACTGGTTCAGGCCTATTTTGTGAACTGGAGTCTTTTCCAGGAATAGAAACTGAAAGTAGCCCTCTCTGTGGTCCTTCCTGCTGGGGCTGGGATCCTGCCACTGGCTTTATTCAGAAATTGCACAGTTCTGAGCAGGAAGGGACTAAAGCAGAGAACACTGTAAGATTGCCTTCTCCTTCCCAGTTCCTCTTCTCCCTCCTGTCTAGGCTCTTCCTAGGCCGACCCCACGCAGCACAACCCCCTTCCTTCCTTCTGGAACAATCTGGGCCTGGAACCAGTTTTGGAGCATCTCAGAGGGAACTGTCTCTGACTGAGGGCTGGACTCTTCCCCAGGGAGGGGAAACTTGCCAGGAGGACCACTGACATCTGCCTGATCACGGTCACCCTGTGCTTCCTGGAGCAGGTAAGTGAGAGAGCTCCTATAACCCAACCTGGCTAATAACTCTGCTGCAGTGAAGACATGAAGGATGGAGCCTGAAACCAGGGCAGGGGAGCTCGGGGACTGGCTTACCCAATTTAGTGGTATTCACAGCAGGGCCCCTCTCTGACATTCTTCAGGGACAAAATTCAGCACCCCTACTCTTTGTTTGCTCCAAACCAATTCTACCTTACGGCGTGGAAGCAATGGGCCTTTCATCTCCTTGTTCATGGCAGTGGGGGTCTTTGATGGGACCAGGTTTGGAAAAGGAGAGTAGGATTCGCCATTCATATCCTCTTGGAGTATAAGTAGAACATAGGACAATGGCAAATTCTGTGCTAATCTGGGATTGGGAGAGTCTATCTGGAGCACCACCTGGACCTCCTGTAGATTAGGGACTAGGGGTGGATTTTCAGGGACAAAGTACCTAACAGACCTTAGACAATGTGTAACAATGCACATGTATATCTGCATTGGAGAAACTGTCCCTGTTGCTGGACACAAGCTCCATTCTTCACAGATGAAGTTAGTGAGGTGGACTCTTGAATACTCTCTTCCCAGACCAGGTCCTTTTATACTTCATGCCCATTGGTGATGCAGATGTCTATTATACTTTCCTAGAATAAATCAGTATGTAGATTTTTTTTTCCTCATCCTTTCCCTATGATGATAAACTGGGAGTGGGGGGGTGGAATATGGGGTTTCACATTGGGTTCAAACTCACAAAAATTCCTGATATCTCAGACTTCTAGTCTGGGCCATGGCTGATCCCCACTTCATGGCTCAACATAATTGGGCATGGCATGAACTATCATAGGACCCTGTGTGGGAATTCCACTAATGAGTGCTTTTCATTCTGCTTCTTAAATCATGAAATCCATTTGCTGCATTATAATAAGAGTTCAAAAAAGTGATCCATTGGAATAGATACAGTAGATCAAAATGGAGGGTAGGCAAATTGTTGGTAAAATATTTTTTCATGTGTATGCGTGTGTACTAAGTTGATACTTAGTTCCTATGTGAAATGCATCTCTCACTGCTGGTCTCATTCAGAAGAGTTTGAAATATCTGCTCACAGGATTGGTTCTCCTTGCAAGCACAACTGTCTTTTCTTGTTGAACCTGCTCCCTGGGTTCCCTCCATAAAGGCCTATGTTCCTTTATTCAGAGACCTTCAAACTCTGTTCAGAGAGGGGAGATCAGAGGTATAACATGAGTATGATCTGCAAAAAAGTGAGCCTGTGGGCCACTTACATCCCAGGCTGATTTCTGATGGTCTCTCCTCAACTTCTGGGTTAGCCTCAATGCCCTGGAGGCTCTTGCACACTCCAACACTTGCACACTGACCATTCCTGGAAGACCTGCATGCTCTCATGGAGTTACCCTTGTCCTAGCCTGGCCTGGCAGCATCACATGGGCATAGTACTGCCTAAAAGGATCTTGACAGGGTCCCACATTCAGGGTTGTCTAGCATGAGGTGCAGGACATGAACCAGATGAGCAAGTAGTGGGGGGCCAGGGAGCTGTGGCTAGTGCTGTGGGGCCTCAGTGACCCCTCCAATAGAGTCCAGCACAGGTGCTCAGGTGAGCAGACATGTGAAAGTCCATGGTTGGGTCGGATATGGTCACAGAAATGGTCTGGAAAAGTGTAGGTTTATGCTCATTTCCCATGCCTACTTTGGGGTGAGGGGGGTCATACTCTTCCCCAGACCCTACTTGTTTTCCAAAGGGATGTGGCAGAGCTGGCTACAACATTTCAGATGACAGCTTTAGGAAACAAAGTTAATTCATCCATCAGCCAGTAAGTGGGAGATATGCAATGGTACATTGTGCTTCATTCATCTAACAGAAATGTGTCCCATACCTGTTGGCCACTAAGGATACCAGGCAGAGCCTAGGGAATTATTTACTGTAAGTGCCAAGACCTGTATGTATATTTTTAAAATACCAAGCATCTAACATGGGATAACAAAATACTTTCTGGGACTTTAACCTTTTGAAAAGACAGGGGTTTTTTTTCAGTCAATCTAATACACAAGAAGTCAAGGTGAAATGGATACATGTGGAGGTTGAGATGGGATTTAAACAAACCAGGGAAAGGATTGAAGGGCTCTAGCCCAGTTCCTATGTTCTGGATCTCCTAGGCCTCACTGGCCTGCCAATTAGTACATCCAGCTTTCTCTATCCTATACTAGGGGCAAACTTACAGGCAACCAGAATCCAAAGTATGCTCAGGGGCAGAAGAAAGCCCTTCACACAATCAACTCAGTGAGCCTGGGATTAATCCAGAAGATTGTCTCCCTGGAGCCATGATGGCAGTTGAGGCCTCCTGGAACCTCTATGTACTCCATAAACTTGGGCTGTTGTTGGAAAAGGTCAAGAGAGGTCTTAAAGTAGGCTTTGAGCATAAGGGCGGGGGAGGGGCTACTCTTAGGTATTCTTATTCCAGAATGTTCCTCCAGCCTGTCCCAGGCCAAGGCCCTATCTTTCTAGCTTTTAGCCAGCTTTGTTCATGCATGTTCTGCCCCCACCACCATGTTGTTCACCCCCTCAGCCAACTCAGGGTGCCTCCACTCCTGCAGGAGTAGACATCACCCTCACCAACCTATTGCATTTCAAGTTTGTCCAGGGGCCGCTGGGGAGCCCTGAAGACTTTATGGGCACAGGCCTCAAGGGATTCTGGTCTCCAAGCAGATGAGAAGGTGATCACATCATAATCCATCAGCTTTCTTCCCTCTGAACTCCCAGCATCTCCTTATCATTTCATTAGGGATCTGTCTCCCAAGGAGGGGGTGTGGTTCAAGTTCCTTGCAGCAGTTTCTGAAAATTGGGGACACTTTGTAGGACTTTTCCTCATACTTGTGAGGCAGTAAGTTTCCCTTAACGTGTAGTGAGGATGGGAGGTGACAGAGGACTGTGATTTTCATTCTCTTCCCAAATTAGGAAGGGTGTATTGAGGGAGGGGTAAATGGCAGTTGATAGCAGTTGATAGCAATAAGTGGACACACATCCCCAGGAGAAGCATCTCAGCATCCAGCCAACGCTCAGCCCAAGGCTGGAGATTCAACATTAACTAGGACCATCCTGCCCTATACATAATGTATTATTAATTACAGGGATAGGATTTCGTAATTCACCACTTGCATATAATACCCAGTGCTCATCCAAACAAGTGCCCTCCATAATGCCCATCACAGATTTAGCCCATCCCTCCACTCCCCTCCCTCCAGCAACCTTTAGTTTGTTCCCTATAGTTAAGACTCTTATGGTTTGCCTCCCTCTCTTTTTTATCTTACTCTATTTTATTCAAATTCAATTAATTAACATATAGTGTATTATTAGTTTCAGAGGTAGAGTTCAGTGATTTATCAGTCTTTTAATAACACCTAGTGCTCATTACATGCCCCTCTTAATGCTCATCACCCAGTCCCCTTACCCCTCTTCCCTCCAGCAACCCTTAGTTTGTTTTTTATGGCTAAAAGTCTTGGTGGGTCTCCCCCTCTGATTACATCTTGCTTTATTTTTTCCCTCCCTTCTTCTATGATCCTTTCTTTTGTTTCTTAAATTCCACATATGAGTGAGATCATATGACAATTGTCTTTCTCTGATTGACTTATTTTACTCAGCATAATACACTCTAGTTCCATCCACATGATTGCAAATGGCAAGATTTCATTTTTTTGATTCCACTGTGTGTGTGTGTGTGTGTGTATCACATCTTTATACATTCATCTGTCCATGGACATCTGTGCTCTTTCCATATTTTGGCAATTGTGGGCATTGCTGCTATAAACATTGTGGTGCAAGATACATCTGTATCTTTGGGATAAGTAACCAGTAATGCAATTGCTGGGTTTTAGGGTAGCTCCATTTTTAACTTTTTGAGGAATCTCCATACTGTTATCCAGAGAGGGTGTACCAGCTTGCATTCCCACCAACAACGCAAGAGGGTTCCCCTTTCTGCACATCCTCACCAACATTTGTTGTTTCCTGTTTTGTTCATTTTAGCTATTCTGACTGATGTGAGGTGGTATCTCATGTGGTTTTAATTTATAATTCCCTGATGCTCAGTGATGCTGAGCATTTTTTTGTGTCTGTTGGCATTGGCATGTTTTCTTTGGAGAAATGTCTGTACATGTCTTCTGCCCATTTGTCAACTGGATTACTTGTTCTTTGGCTGTTGAGTTTGCCAAGTTCTTTTTTTTTTCTTATAAATCTATTTTTTATTGGTGTGCAATTGGCCAACATATAGAATAACACCCAGTGCTCATCCCATCTTGGAGAGGATGTAGAAAAAGGGGAACCCTCCTGCACTGTTGTGGGAATGTGAACTGATGCAGCCACTGTGGAAAACTGTGTGGAGGTTCCTCAAAGAGTTAAAAATAGACCTGCCCTACAACCCAGCAATTGCACTGCTGGGGATTTACCCCAAAGATACAGATGCAATGAAACGCCGGGACACCTGCACCCCCATGTTTCTAGCCAAGCTTTTTTTCTTAATAATAAATTTATTTTTTATTGGTGTTCAATTTACCAACATACAGATCAACACCCAGTGCTCATCAGGGCAAGTGCCTCGCTCACTGCCCGCCGCCCACTCACCCGCACCCCCCGCCCTCCTCCCCTTCGACCACCCGCAGTTCGCTTCCCAGAGTTAGGAGTCTTTATGTTCTGTCTCCCTTTCTGATATTTCCCACACATTTCTTCTCCCTTCCCTTATATTCCCTTTCACTATTATTTATATTCCCCAAATGAATGAGAACATACACTGTTTGTCCTTCTCCGATTGACTTATTTCACTCAGCATCATACCCTCCAGTTCCATCCACGTTGAAGCAAATGGTGGGTATTAGTCATTTCTAATGGCTGAGTAATATTCCATTGTATACATAAACCACATCTTCTTTATCCATTCATCTTTCGATGGACACCGAGGCTCCTTCCACAGTCTGGCTATTGTGGACATGGCTGCTAGAAACATCGGGGT